AAATAATATATATAAAAATAAATAAATAAATCAAATATAAGATAATTGCTAATTAATAGTATTGGTAAAATATCTGTCTAATATCATAGACCGATAGAATAATAATATGGGACCTTTGCTAGAAAAATAGGGTTTCAAGGTCTCTCCAAACAAAATTGAGATTTTTGTTGTATATTAATCTCTTATATAGGAGGTTTGTATAGTATAAATTTTATACCATATTATCTTAGTGCAAAAATGAATTATTCGATACTGAATTTTTTTAATATAAAATCTAAAAATAGATCTACATAGACAATAAACCAACATGGTTGTCGATTTCTAAAATTTTATTGGCTATTTAAATTTATTACGTATTGATAAAGCTTTATTCTTTTGCAAATTTTTATACTGAATAATGATAATCAGTTATAACGATAATCAGTTAAAGTGATTTATACTTTTTGTTTTTGCCTTGAGTTCTTAGCTCTGTAGCTACTGCTACTGCAAATCTACCCATCATTACTTCGGTATTTAGTTGAGATGCTAATCTTTATATATATATATTTTTTATTTCAGGTTTTGCACTTTCTTTTACTAGATTCTTTATCTTTTTCTCTCTTCATAGGTTTTTTGTTTTCGTTACTACCTTGAGCTGTCACCACTATAGATCTACCTATTGTTTTTTTGGTATTTAGTTTAATTATACCTTCGTTCACCCTAAGCTCTGTCACCACTATGGATCTGTTTATCATTACTTCGGTAATAGTTCATATACTAATCTTAGCTAGAATGCTTATTTTTTTTGTTGCTTTAGGTTTTGCCCTTTCTTTTTTTCTGGATTCCTTATTTATTTCTCTTCATAGGTTTTTCAATTTTGTTACTACCTTGAGCTGTAAATCTACCTTCATTACTTTGGTGTTTAGTTCAGTTACATTTTTGTTAATATATTGAGCTCTGTTATTACTGTAGATTTTTTGGTATTTAGTTCAGATGCTAATCTTTGCTAGTATATATGTTTTTCTTATTACTTTAGGTTTCGTTTTTTCCTTTTTATCGGATTCCTTACCTTTTCTCTTCTTTTATAGGTTTTTCGTTTTGTTATTACCTTGAGCTCTATCACTGCTATATATCTACTCGCCATTACTTTAGTATTTAGTCTAGGTGCTAATTCTCATTGGTATGTACTTTTTTTTTTTATGAATCTTGCACTTCTCTTTCTTATCTTTTTTTTTCATTATTACAGCTTTAGTTCTTTTTTGCAGATTTATTATTTTCGGTTTATACATTATTCCTCTGGCTGAATTTTTACTTTTTTTTTTTTACTAGCTTCTTTACCTTTTTCTCTTTGGTAAGCTATACTAATTATATTTTATGCACTAAAGCAATTCAAAAAATATATTTAAGGTAAATAACTAATATTATTTATTTATTAGTATCAGGATTTGCGCAGTATACATCTTTGTATAGATTGTCTACATGTTGTCTAATTTTTGTGTACAAATAGTGTTTTCTTTCTTTTGTTAATGGTTTAATGCTTATAGTTTTTAGCATAGCATAAACATTAAAGTTATTGTTACATAATAATTGAAAGGGTACTTCTGTCCCTCTGGATTCTATTGATGTGTAAACTTTTCCGATATCATTAGGTGAATTATTATACCTAAAATGATAATATTGTTTTATATGGAGAAAATTTTTAAAATGGTTATTAAATAATAAAAAAAAATCATTTCACGTCCAATCTAATCCGTCGTTATATAAAATTGCCGTATTTCCTTTGGATGAATTATTGATAACTTGTTCAATATTAGCCAATGTATTATTTTTTTGATTTCGATATAATTTTTTTATTTTACCAAAAAAAGAATCACAAATAAATTTTGTATGGCCCGAAATCATAAAATTTATCGTAATTTCTTCATACCAACCTAATATTATTAACCAACAATAAAAAAAAAGTGATGGATTATTTTTATTTTGACCACTGCAGTTATCACAAGTAATATGCATTTTTTTTTTCTCTTTACAGGTGAATTTTTGAAGAAACCAATAAACCATATTAAGTGTGATATTGGTACCTTTAGAAGTACTTTCTGAAAATTCATCTTCACCTATTACGAAGTTTAATTGAGAATTTTGACCACCTTCCATTTTACATACACCAAACAAATGTACTGAAAATAGACTTTTAAAATAAATTGCTCCTACTTGCTGTGAAGAGTATGGAATTGATACGTACTGTGCTCAATCATAGCAAACATATGCAATTGATAAATTCTTTGCACTTTTATTTATATTATTGTTGTAATATTGTCTTTCCTGATTTGCTGCCTCACGATGCTGATTATATTGAACTTTAATTTGATCATATTCATTTTTATTAGACTTCACTACTAATAATTTTGCTTTAAAACTTTTACAAACTTCACAAAGATCGCTCGCGGGTAATTGAAATTTAAGATGAGGAATTACTTCTTGCCAAAGTTTTCTAAAAGTAAAATAAGAAATAATTTTTTCATTTTGATCATTTTCACTATAAAAGTGTTTTTTAAATTCATTATAAACAGAAACATAAGTGCTTCCAGTAGGTAAGTAAATAAACGGTTCTGATTCATTTTTGTGTCTCATTGGCAACGATAATTCATTAATAGCTCTATATTGTTCTAGAAAATGTTTAACGGGAAATGTAACACTAGAATCAAGAAATATGCTTTTTACTTTAGGTACATGGCTAGTATTATCATGAATCCTTTCTGTTATATCTTCATTTTGTAAATGTTCTTGTATTGCTGAAAGAAAATAATCATTTATCCAATAAAGTTTTAAAAATGCAGGTTTACAAAGGGGAAAAGAATGGTTATAACAATATCTATAATTATGTCTTTTATGAACTTCTAATTTATCGTCTATAATTTCAAAAACTACTAATTGTGCTTTTAAAAATAATTCGAGTTTTGATTTTTCTAATGCTCTTATTTGAAAATGTCTTTCAAAAAATCGTTTAAATCTGACTTTTTCATAGCATGTTCTAAGATCTTTTTTGTTAGGTGAACGTCGACATACACAATTTAATTGTTCAAAACTGTGTTAAATCATGAACAGTATCAAGTACTAATTCATATTCTTCTAATCCTAACTTGATTAGATTATACACCGGTTTTAAAGAAGTCAAATTTGTATCTAAATTTTTCATTTACTGATCTTAAAAACTTATGATTTTTCATACAATCGAATTAAACAAAATTTTCTTTTTAAAAATTTTTTTTTTAAAAAAAAAAAAATTTTATACTGTTGTATTAAAAGAAAAAAAAAAAGAAACTAAGAAAATGATGCCTATTGAATACATATGTAGTCTTAGATTAGTACAAACCTGAAATAACACGCATCATATAAATGGTAAACCAAGCATGAATATACGTGGTATAAACTTCCTTATCTGTAGTGATTATTATGATGGCTATTGTAAGAAGGCAGCTTGAAAGCATTATGCATATACAACCTATTATAAAGAAACTCAAAAACGGGTACCTATGATTAGATTCAAGAATACAGATTTTTTTATTCGAAATTTTGATATTCGGTAAGCCTTTAAATTCCTCCTTACAAGAAAATGATTTATTATATTGGGGCCTCATACTTTTACTTCACTACTTAAATAGAAGCATTATCAATAAGCTATTATTTATAACAGTTCTCATGCTAAGCCAAAATTAGTATTTCAATGAAGTAATAAATACATATGAAAATAAATTCAGATAAAAATAACTCCAAAAAAATTTCTCACATAATCATACCAAAAAGTTTCAGAGTCCTGGCTTATAGAGTTTAAAGTCTTATTTATATTATTAATTAAAATATGTATAAAGAAGGTAGAAAATCATCAGTCCTGCTAAAAGGTAACATTATAAAAAAAAATTTAAATGCATACACAACATAATCGGTAGTCCTGCTGTTGAAAAAATTGTATTTTTTATAGAGTTGCTTTTCATATAAAATTAATTGAATTTTTTACAATTTTATTTTGGTCTTCCACAGTTTCGATCATATTCTGCATGACGGGTTTACTGTTAAAGAGAATCTCTAAAGTAATGAAACCTTATGATAGGTATTAAAATTTTGTATAACATTGTTTCAGATAGTCAAAATTCCATGTAACTTAAAATTTGTATAACAATATCTCAAAGGGTCATTTTATTAGCAAAAATTTTGTGTTTCTATTATTGTATAACAAAATCTAATTTTAGTAACAGATTTGATGATCTTTAATTTGTATAACAAAATTTTAATTGTTGTTTACTTAAAATCAGATGATCAGTCTCGAAGAGTTATTTTTTTAGCAAAAATCCCATATATTAAATTTTAAAATAGTGTCTAAAAAAAGAAATGTAAATATATATAATATAATTATCACTATATCTGCATTATATCACTAGGATGATAGTTTGAAGATATATAAAATTTAAAATTTTAAACTAAACAAATAATATATATAAAAATAAATAAATAAATCAAAT